AATTACCTTTCTTTTTCATGAAAATAATACGTTAATTGTGATATTCTATAAAGCTATAAATATATAGTTTCTACAAGGTATGATATTTATCAGCCTTTTGCATATTATTTAATAGACTGAATTATATCACCATTTAAAGATTTTAAACGTGATACAAGAGTTGATAAACAATTGTTTCAAACATGTGTTCAGACAAATGCATTATATGTTTCTTCTTGATTTGATATTGATATTCGAGTAACATCTTGTTGAACACTCTAATTGGTTAAAAAAAAGTTATGATTGTATATTTTTTAATACACTAAGTAATAGTATGATGAAGCATACAGTCTTTTTAAGTAAATACCAATTCCAAGTTCGATTCTCCTTCTTTTCTCAGATAATTTCAATTTTTTTTCCATGTTACTTAATATTTCGGTATGTTTCACTTGTCTTGTATGAAAAAATAAGTAGCTGATGAATATTTTTGAAAAAGGTATTCTTGAAAAATGTATAATAATTGCGCATGTTTGAAAATGTACATATTGGATGAATTAAAGAAGATGTGTTTTCGGACAATTTGATTTAGATATTCTTCATTCTGAATAATGTATTATACAAGAAATTTGGTTTTTAAGTATAGTTCTATGTATACTTTAAAGTAATTTCTATGATTATAGTAAAATTAATGAAATAAATGTTGATTACAATCATGTGTAATATAAAATGTCTAATAAAATATAAAAACCTATGCATTGAAAGGTCTTAGGTATATAAACAGTACTGTTATGGAAAAATATTGATACAAATCATTTAGAATGTGTTATAAGATAGATATGATGTTAGCTAAAAACATTTTTTCGAGTAGAAATTTATATAAAAACACAGTTTCATCTAAACATAAATTAGAGAACTCTATGCATGTAGATAGGCATATAGATACATTATAGAAAAAGTACAAGATTTGTCTAAATATCTTTTTAAACTGTCCCAAAAAACAAGTCAGTCGTATATCCTGTTAGCAGAATATCCAAAATGTGAAGATCTAACAAAAAATATTTTTCATGAAAATATGAAACATTTCTGATTATTTTTAGTGAAATTACTGGTTCTTGTACAACTATTAGCCATTTGTTTTCGTCTGTTGTGTATAGGTAGCAATTTTTAAAAAGAACAACTTATAACCAAAATGATAATAAATGAATACTTTATATATATATGAAAGTAAATTTAACAATAAATATAATTTAAAGGAAAAATAAATAAGTACATTCGTTTTAGTTTAAAATATTTATGTTTCGAATTAATTAAATGTTAGTATATTGAGTTATTAATTAATTTTATATTTTTGTGAATAAATGTACGATCTGATTTCTGATTCTAAAAATCATGAAAAAAATTATAAATAAAAACTTTGAAAAAAGCATACATTAAAACATATGTTTAATATATCAAAACACATTATAAAGACAATTAACAGAACCCTTTAATACACATTTATGTACATTCAGCAAAAGAAAACGTACATTGTCTTAATTTATTGTTCCCTTCCCCATTATATTCGTTTTCTTCTTTTTTTAGCTAGTTACGGAGATCTGTGTAGTAATGAGCCATGTCTGAAAGAACGTGATGTTACAATGCTCTTTGTGTCAGATCACAATGTTTTTTAAATGCTGAACGAATATTTCTCAAAGATCCACTATATTGAGAGCAATGACTATATACAACCGACGTGGAAAAAGAAATGTTATGTTTATTCAGTATAGCCCAATACTATCTTGTTTTCATTTCATAAATCTACCTTCTTTTGTAATTTAAACAGAGCTGACCTGAATAGATGAAGTCAATGGTTCTGGTTCATTGTGTGTTCTTAAGTTAATTGAAGTCTCCATATTAGTATTATCTAAATCTCCACTCAACGTGTGACATTCCCCATCAATTAATGAAATATTAGCATCTACTGTAACTGAATTATTTTCTACACTAGTATTCTTTTTTCTGATCGAACATCCATTTACATTTCCGTCAAGCTCTGTCGATTCGCTATTTAACATTGAAGAACTACCTTTAATGCTTTCTTTTGAAGTCGTCTGAGATCCAAGTTTCTTCTCTTTGTCTGAGATAGCGGTATGTGTATTTTTAGCCACTTTGCTATCTTTCTCTCTAGGTTTCTTCCCAAGCACTGGAAAGTTCGTGATTTTCGACGCTGTTTTCTGATCTTTAGATTGTCTCATTGAACCAACTCTATTTGGCTCTGTGGTGTCTTCTTCTGTGATCGATACAAGATTACTTTTCCCTTCTCCACTAGAATCTTCTTTCGTAACTTGAATTGGTATATCATCTAAACAAAACAAAAAGAAAGAAAAACATAGAAATATATTATTACCACATTTTACAAAACGCGTATCGAAGTATATATACTTTATATAAATGTATATGTACTTCATACAAACACTTTGAAGAAAGCATATAGAAAAAATTATAAATTTTAAGTGAAGCATAAAATAATATAAATAAGTTTTACAATGTAAAGCTTCTGTAAATGAAAAAAAAACTTAGTTAAAACATATATTTGTAAAAATAAATATATAATATCTCAATCGTAACTTAAAAATAAGGATTGTTTTTATATGCAATTACTAAATACACAAATTTACATGGTGCATTGTTATGTATTAATTTGTGCACAAATGGAATACTTCAGACTAATGATAATAGAAACTAAAAAATGGAGGGATAACGGTAAACCTGTATTAGGATAAGTTCAATACTCTCATTATAAATAAACATGCCAAAACTTCATGCAACTGTCCACAATGTGCATTTGGCTACATGTGATATGATTAGGCTTATGACTTGTTTCTTCTAAAAATGACGATGTTCTGAAACGAATTTATAAATAAATACACAAATCATTGCTAATTCGACTGCTTAACGTTATACAGTGTAAGAGCTAATTCTGTCGCGTGTTTATTGAAGAAGAAAATTTTAGTGATCCTAAAGTGCTGAAACTGAACCACTAATACCATGTATTCGTTGATAAAGCAGCAGTTGTACGATAATTCAACGTTTTATTTCCATCCACATACAAATTTTCCATCGATTCATGGATTAGTTCTCCTAGAACTTGTTCTTCCAAAACACTGTACAAATGAGAGCCAGAACTTATTTTATTTTCTCCATAAGCAGAATCACTACATTCTTTCTGCTCCTTTCTCTTACGTAGATTCACTTTTAGATTATGATCTTCATTATGTTCAGATGTATTTCTTTTCGAGTGATCTTTGCTCTTTCTAGGAGACGATTTATTAGGTGAATTTTGAGCACTGCACACGCTTCCATGTCTAGAACTTTCCAATGAGGAAGTAGAACTGACTTTTTTCATTCTGGCGGTTTCTTCATTTGCCGCTGTAAGCGATTGTTTCGATTGCCAAGGGAACCACTTGATACTGCTGGATACTGTTGGTTGCGGTTGATCATTTTCAAGTTGAGCAGTAGCATTGTCGAGTTCAGCCGCGAATAACATCTCATCCAGATCGTCTAATGACATATGTTTGCAACTAATGCACATTTGCTGAATCCAGATTGCATGTGAAATGTGTTTATGATTATGCAAATGCTTGAACACACCTCTGTTTTGTGTATTAAGGACATGTTTTCCATAATGCAAAATCAACTTATGGGAACATGTTTTTACTAATATAAACACGAAAGACTTTTAACTCATATACATAACTAACAATTTTGATCTATCTAAACCCTAGATAAAATATATTTACAAATATATATATTTACGGCATGCGAAATGAATCGTATAATGTACACGTATTGCGTTCATGCACTTTTAATTCTTTCTTTTTTTTATTTATATACCATCAATATGAAAGTATAATTTGAAATTTTGTCTCTTATTTACGTTATATTAGTTTAGTGCATACTAAATGATGTTTGCTACAATGAATAATATTGATAACATGCTGGGTAGTTATAAATAATTCAACAAAAACCAGACTTCGTATATTGTGCCAAAAAGAAAGAGACATTAATGGTACATTTGAAACTACAGTGTTCTCAAAATATCCGGTTATGATAGTTGACAGTAGATAATAACTTTTAATTTTAGAAACCTACCTGGCAACTTTTTCGTTCGAAAGGAAGCATTTGTGATCATAGACTTAGATACTGTTGCAGTTGCGCTTGGTGACAATGCTACACTCACACCAATTGATCCATCGCTAAGTTGACCTGAAATATTGAAACGTTTCTGTTATGCTTAGTGCTGCTTATTATTAACTGTTTTAATATTCTAATTAACATTCATTTTCTTATACCTGATGGTCCAGAACTAGCAGAATTACGTATAGCATTTGTGACTAGCATGACATCTGGGTATGTTTCATAACACGCTCGATTGTGAATATCTTCCACTGCTTGTGTACCTAAATACCAGCAGTCATTATACCTGCCAATATATATAAACTTTTATTAGAAGTGTCCTTAAAAACTGATTTAGAAATCAAGTACAGTTAAATAAGTTAATGTAAAAAAATAATTTGTTTCATACATAGCAAAATATACAGCATGTAAAAATTCAAGAAGAAATTGACTTGATACGGGTATACGAGGTAACAGTCTTGGAACAAAACTGGACTCGCTTCCATATGAAGATCTTTGATGATGTCCTGGTTTCATGAATCCTTGAGTGACAAGTCTGTAACATATGATTAAATAAGTTATAATCGACATACCTAATATATAAGATTAATTTTTAATCATTAGCCTTTATCTTACTTGGTGGCAACTTTGCACAATTGCTCTAAAGCAAATTTATTTATGTAACCCAGTTGTTGATTGTAAATAAAGAGAAGAGCAGTCATTACTTTCAATCTGTTCTGTGCATTCAGTGTTTCTACTTGCTGCAGCGGTCCCCAACTAACTAATTTTGTATTGCATTCTTCAAATCTACGCACAGCACTTTCCGTTAAAGAAGCTGGTGCTAAACTTGCAGGCTATATAAAACAGACAATATTTATTACAAAAGAATTATACAGGTGTTCATTTAAAACAGGTACAAACCTCATGAAATATAGACAACATGGCAAGAGATGGTACTCTAAAAGAAATTGCTTTCTGTTGCCCAGATTTATCAACTATTTCCAAATTGTATAATCCGATCAATAATGTTTCTACAGATCGACAATTCTGTGGAAAAAAATACATTACAAAGTAAATATAACTTGTGTATGTTTTATCAAGAGATATCTGATATTACATCTGACACTCGATTTATGCAAGTTTCTTTTTTACGCGGTAAATTAGAACACTATACGGTACTTTTTATGTGCGGTCTTAATTTACGTAATCTGAATTTAGTAACATCAATTAAAATTTAGTAAAACCGCTTCTCTTTTCAATATTTTGTATTTTTCTATATTGACAAACTCTATTTACACATTTTTATTCACGCAAGACAAATCCACATAGAACGGATTTTCGCGTAAATCGAGGGTCAGGTGTATATTTCATCAAATAAGTATCATTTATACAAACGTAATTAATGATTAAATAATTTTACTTGGAACTAAATTCTTTTAATCATATGGTTGTCAAATATGTGTATATATATATACTTAATATTCATTATTTTTTAAATTACTATTACAGTAATAATCCTTCATACAGAATTACAGCAAGTTTGAATGAACTAAACACTTGTTTTATAATTATGCAAATGATATAACACTTGTTCCGTGCAATTCTAATTTGAATTATAGTTCATCTGTGTTATATAACATTAGTTTTTATTCAGATGTCAACTTCAGAAAACACACATGATTAATGAGGTTCTTGTTTAATCATTATCTTGTTTGTAATTATGTATCTTTACCTTAATATCACCATGAGCTGCAGAATTCAAATAAATATATACCAATGTTGGCAAGAACTGCAAGGTAAACCTTTGCAATTCTGTTTCCCGGGAACGGTAGAAATTGTATAACTGATCGCATACTGTATCCACCAACTATAATGAACAAGAAATTATTTATAAATAAATAAGGCGTAATTTAAAAATATATATTAAAATTTTGATTACTAAAGTAACTTTCAGTTTTATCATTAAAGTAATCAGATTAAGATATCCTTATCTACAAAGGAATTTCCTTTAATATGTTTGTAGACATGAGGCCTTATAATGCCCATAAAACATGTACAATTAACCCTCAAAATTACAAGTACTTTGAACAATGTAAAAGTCGCATAATAAATAACGAAAATTTCTTCCATGCTAATCTTTTCATGAATACTTGTGAAAAAGGAACTCTGTTTTGAGAACTTATATCGTTTATTAAATGTGTACTCGTTTCTTTTACTTAAACATAAGTAATATATATTAAGATTATATTACCTGACTGTATTTGCTACGCTCTTCCAAAAGCACGTAAAGTGCTCTAACTATCTCGTTATCTTGCAATAGAGTAGTAGCAAAAGTGTGGAGTTCCGAAGGCGAGACATCTGAACAGTCTGCCAGCCATTCATTTATTAAACTCTCAGTCATTTTTTACTTTTCTCTCGCCTGTGTCAATAAATTAAAATCTTGTTGATCAGAAACTTTGGCATCCAGAATAAACTGTCTGATACTTTGAAAATCATTACACCAAATTTGAGTGATTATTGGCTATTTACGAACGACTCCTACAAACGACATTTTGAAGGTGCATCGCATCCTTTAACTTACAGTCTGTTACTGAATTTACAGAAATCTATTAAGGACTCGAAAATTAAGTGACATACTAGGTCGACAACTGTAATAATGTGAAAAATCATTAACATTGCTTAATCGTCACTGTTACACACAATTTCCATGTTTCAAACGTAAATCTTTCGATCTTGATAATGATCACTTTCTTATCAACTGATGACAGTCAACATAGTTAAAAATTAGTCAGAATCATGCTGGAACACTTTTCAATTACCTCCATGTCCTCTCCCAACGGCACTCAATTCTCAATTGCGAATCTGACACTTGTAACTACACACTGCGATTGAATGCGTAGCACATAGATGGGTATGTATTTATGGCAACTATATTTGCGAAATAAAATTTTTGATTCTGGAATTGGTAAAAATAAAGAGAAACTAACAATAACAGAATAATTTAATAACTGAAATATCATACATTATATATGTTATTCTTGGTTAGTATTGATTCTATAATTAAGTACATATTTTGGTCTTTGGAGAATATTATGTGGTGTAAAAATCGCGTTCATTAAAATTGACCCAAAAGCAAAGAAAGCATTATTTAATTTACTTTCTAGTAGTAGTAGATATTATAATATTTGCAAATAATTAAACTAATAATAAAAAAGAAGAGAAATTTATTCTAGAATATTAATCATTAAATACTGGGTCATATATTATGTAATAAATTTAATTGATACTAAAATTTCCCGCTGTCGTTGTACTTTACGAATTAAACACGAATGGCGCTGTGAATCATTTCACAAAAATTAACAAGAGATCTGGATCTTATTTGTGTATGATTTTTCTCAATGTTCTTATTGGTCTTTATAGTACTGGTCATTTTAAGTGAGAATGTTCTTCAGGAAGTATTCGGTGAAAGTAGGAGAAATGTTAATAGAAACTTCTATAACTTGAAAAATAAAAAATATTATAATGTAAAAATTATACAATGTTATTCATTTTACACGATCAGTGCCAAGTAAAAATATTGGTGAACATTGTTACTTATTTATTACGAATAAATACGAAGCAGTGTAAGTGGTACTTCTTCTATTAATATAATAGCATGCGTTTTTTAATCCAAGAAAATCTTCAGTAAATAATTATGTTGATCTTGAAATATTCTTATAATTCATTAGTTTTTTATATTTATTAACGTATCAAATATATATTTTTTTAGAAATTTATTTATAATGTAATAATAATTTATTTTCTTCATTACATTCATTTTATTATAGGGAGGTAAACTTACTTCTGCCGCAATCTACTATTAATTAACAAGAAATATCATCAGTGAGGAATGTAAACATTCAATATATGTGGTATGTACCAAATATGTTTGTATAACTGTATATTTCATATTTTATTTATGATGAAATATTTTACCAATCAAATGATACTGTGATTATTTATTAGCATGCACTACCAACTGAATTATGTTATTTACCACAATTTAATATTATCATTATTAAATAAGATTTTACTTAGTTTCATTCATTGCAGGTTTTACAATGCTATCAGAAGCGATTCAAGTTGTTCGATACATGGTTAGTATTATTTTCTTTAAATAACTTTATTCTCATTTGAAAATAATATGATGATACATGAACCATTACATGAGTTCGTGATTATTTGTTCTACATGCACTACCAACTGAAGTTTAAAATTATCATAAAATATGATAATAAACTTCTTAGACATGCATTTTCTAATATTTTTATATTTTAGGTAATCAGTTAAGACGACATGGTTGTATTGAGTCAACTTGTACTTCATTGATAAAAATCACATATATATTATACATAAAATTCTATAAATTATTTGTATATAATCTATATTGTATTAAATATAAAAATTAAATTATTAAAATAAAATCATGTTATTTCATTTATATTTCTCTTCTTTATTTTACTACACGTTATTCATGGAATAATACTACTTTTTAAGAGGTTTATGAACTATATTTTTTAAAGGCAGATGATATGTAAAAATACATATATTATCTATATACAATGTTTCGTAATATCGGTGCAGCAATCAAGATATACATATATCTTACAAATAATTAACATTAGAACACAGATGAAAGTGTAAGGATCATCGGTAATCACAAATAAAATTTTAATATATAAGGAAAACGAAATTTACAATGAATCGTTTTTGTTTCATAACATGTTACTATAAGAACATTGTACTTTGACTTTATCGAGAAAAATTCATAAATAATCTAGCTTCCAATTTGGTAAAGACTGTATAATTGTAAATTACACATCAAGCATGTATAAGAAGAATATAGAGTAATATTTATTAAAAAAATTTCCAAGAAACAAATTGAAACATTCTGTAGCTAGTTACAAAAAAGATATTTCCAGTCTGATCATTCATGTTAAAATTTGTAAAGAAAAATATACAAGCGGTAAGAAGAGAATAATGCAAGTATGGAAAACACGCAAACCAATCTCATTACCTTATTTTATATAAATTAGTAATTATTATTGTTATACAAATAATAAGCATTCAAAACAAAATTATGATCTTTTAAAGACTTATCAATACTGATATTTGAAAATATAAAGCAATTTCTACTATATAATTGAATGATCAAACTGAATTTTCAATATATGAAATTTATATTTTTTATAAACATATAACAATTAAAATTATACATTAAATAGTTTTCATACCTAGGTCATAGAATATCCATTGTATAAGGAAAAATGCATTAGAGAATAATTGGTTTCTATAATGGTAAATATGTGTGGAATACACAATGAAAAGATTCTTTTACAAAATTCGAAAGTTGTATGAAAACATTTGACTTTAATAAATTCATTTCTTTCTATTCTGATATAAAATTAATTCAATTACATTTGCGTGTAATTTACAGTACACTGCGTAAACTAACAACAATTGTTCGAATGTTATTATTTAATTTTCCATTGAATTTACGAGAATAAAAGTTCAAATATCAACGTAACCGTATGATCTTTTACGCAGGACATAAAAGTGTAACGTGATATATCATTTAAAAATATTGTATGTACCCATATTTACCTAAAACATATTTTATAGGTAGTGTGTTTGTGTATGTTTAATACGCGATCTTCAAGGCACTCCAGATATATATTACATTCATATTTTACAAATTCTGTTCTTCACTTTTTTCGCACTTGAGGCATCTTAAGATAGAAAGTAAAATCAGACGAGAGCGCTTTGAATTAGTGCTTTCCTAGAGCATAGTTTCCTACAGTATAAATTATACCGAGGCGGCCCTTTATACACATACATGTTACAGCAGCAATGATCAAATCAGTAAAATTTTGATCTATTTACAAACATCTTCAACTTTATCAATCATACGTATTTTACAAGTTTTATAAACTTGTAATAGATTCGTGCATTCTCTCTTTTTTCCTTTACACCAGTTTTGTCTTCTTCAAGTACAAAAAATAAAGACATTGACAAAAAAAAAGAATTATAAACATCTGTTTCATCTAACAAATATAACTTTTTCTTACATGAAAACTATGTGTTTTTTTTAAATTGCAGCTGTATCTAAACGTTTCTAAATTACATTAGCAAACATTATGTATAAGGCGATTCTCCGAAGTATTCGTTATTAGCGACCAATTATTTCGTTTACAAATTGACTATTGGTAAACGTATTCTCTTATATCCTTTTTAATAACTCTCGAACTTTTACTAATGAAAAGGTTCCTAAAGTAGAGCGAAACTACACGAATACCATATTCATGTATAGGTTGAAACAGAACCCACTGTACTCTTCAATGTTACATAGTCACTGCAATCTAAATGAATACGTTTTGAACATTAATTTATGTTTGCTGTTTCTCATTACCAACAGTTACTTCGAACATATGAACATTAACATGAATTTGTTTTATGATCGATTAGTTTATCCAAAATATAGATTGACTTCCTGAATATTGCCTATAAGTTTGCTGCCTTTGTATCTTCATTATACCTTTGGCTTCTCGCTTTAGTAATAGCAAGTTTCACAAGCCTTTGTATTCGCACTTAAATACAATATGTTACAGAAACACTTATTTATAAGAATGCATGTACATCACCATCGCTTACCTAACAACGTTTAGGATAATGTACACAAAGAAGACATGTACAAGGTTTTGTAGCTGGATAATCGTTTTGATACAGTGTCTTAACATTGAACACCAACCTCAGTCAGTTTTCGGTTCGCATAGTTGTTTTAACGATTTTAGTTCTTCTATTAATGTCTGATTTCTGTTCTCCAATATTGCAACACGATTTTCTAAACACTTTATATACTCCTTCTTTTTCCTTCTACATTCCCGCGCTGCTTGTCTATGAGAAAAATGTACGTTGTTCAATTAAAATATAAAATAAAAAGAAAGGGAGATCAATTGAGGAAAACTTTTAAAAAAATGTTATTCAAATGTTACCTATTCTTAAGCAACCTTTGCTCTCTTTTTCTAGCTGCGTCCTCTACTACAACACCGTGTCCTGTGTAAGCTGGAACATTGCCAGAGGCTGTACTTTTTAAATTTATATATTATTCGTTTGTAATTAATTATAGGATAATTGTAGGATTAACACTAGGATGGCACATGGGTTGCTTATGTCTATGCCATTTCTTTAAAAGAATTTTGCAACAGAGTACTCTTACGGCAACAATACTGACCCATGTATGATGGAGATACAAATGATTCATGTGTGTATTTATGATTCTGTATTTCAGAACGTTGAAATACGTAAATCCACGTTCTGAAATATAGAATCATAGATTCAGTTTTATAAAACATAATGATATAACAGTAGTAAATATAGTAAAAATTTGTTGCAATCGTTACAACTAATGATACGATTTTTTAAAAAAAATATTTATATATACACAGTGGTACCTTGGCTTATGAACCGTTCTACATACGAACTTAATTTCAAAAAACGAATCTGAAGCTTTTATAATCCTGAATTATAATATAATAGAAAGCTGGGTTTCGAGATACGAACTTCGGACTGAAGCGAATTAAGTTCGTAAGTTAAGGTACCACTATACATATATACGTATATATACTACTGTAAGATTAACTTAATTTTTACAATAGAAGTATGAGAAATCTCCCACCTGGGACGAAGAATTGTGTATCTTGACCCTGCGCATACTGCACTATTGCACCACCAGCAGTTGCTGCATTGCTCATAGTTAATGAATGAAGTCCTGGTACGCCCTCTCCTTGGGTTGCAATTTGGATAGTACCAGCTGGAATTACTGTAAAACATAATAGTTTCAGCTATAATGCACCTGTTATATTTTATTATATAGTAACCCATTCGCACAACAGTTATTTTGTACATTTTGTGGACAAAATATGCTTAGGCGATGCAATGTAGAAATAGTCCAAAAAATACTTAAAAGCTGACTAGATGGTATGGAGTTATAGAGAAGAACGAAAAATATAACGTATTAATACTTATTAATACATCAGGATAAAACACAAAAATATGCTACAAGTCTGACACGTTATTCTGCACGAATGGGTTAATAAAACAAGTGCACATTTAGTGGAGAACTTTTTGAGTAATATATTCCTTGCGCTAACTAAATTACTGGCACAAAACTTTTAGAATCACGTATTTTGTTAAATAATGTTATTTATGTAATATATGTGCGAATGCCTATCCAGAAATAAAATGAGAATCCCATAAGCACGGATGCCACACCAAGCAAATATAATATAAAATATCACAATAGGCAACAGATACAGAGACAAAATGAATAACTTTAATCTAACAGTTTTACTTTCCCCTCTTGTTATTTTCTTCAAAATAATGGAACAGAGGTTGGAATATGCACAGAAATAATATAAAGGACAGCCAGGAAAGATACGTAGAAGAAAAAAATAACCAACCTGTCTGATAATGGAGAGAGTGGGAAGACACTTCACTGTCCACGTTAGAATCACACTCAGAAGATGATTCTAGGGGGGGCAATCGACCGTCTGCAACACCGAATCAGTACAACCCCCCATTATAACAAATTTGTTACCGGTGTGTAACTGAACTTGAACAGTCCCCATAAAATAGTAATTTTATAAATTTATTTTTTTTTGTCCTATTACTTAAAAGAAACAGTTACAACATTTACAGTGATAACTATCATTTCTTCTAAAATAACTTTCCTGATTGTATAAAAGTGCATAATTCATGTGTGTATATAAATATATATATTTCTCAATTCAACTAAAATTTGCTTAAAAAGATAGAAAAAACGGAAACAAAATTATAATATTTATTTCTTTTCTGGCTGCTGTTTATATATATTTATTAAAATACTGTGCAGTCAGCTCATACAAAAAGGAAAAAAGATCGAGGTAACATAAAAGTTAAAAGTGACTAAATTTCAAATAATAATTATTCAAATTAATAAAAGAATATATAATTCTATTACAGACTTAAAGAGAAATATGAAATCAATATTATCAATGCAAGTTATTATTTTAATTCATCTATTTTATCATGTAATTAATCACTTTAGAACTCTTGTCACTATCGTAATTGCTTGACTTTTCATTTTGTACTTTAAATCAAATTTCTAAATAAAAAAAGATAAAAATTTCAGGAACAGGAATTGTAAAGTCAAATAACAATTATTATTATGTGATATTACTTCGATTTAAGTAAAGTTAAATAAACATTTTATTAAATTAATTACATATGGGAGCTTATTTGCTTCTATGTAAAAATTTGTTATTATCCAATGCAATATTATGCACACACAGGTAATGGTTAGAGGAGATTCTACTATTGTCGTTTTTTAGATTTTTTATTTTTAATAAATTAAATTTAATCACAGTACCTTACACTCAAAGCTTGGCATGGCATTCCTTTTTCTTTTACATACATAAAGTCAAACATTAACAAGCGTAAAGTGTTGCATTCATACTCCTTAACAAAATTTCTAAAAAAAACAAAAATATCTACATTTTTACAAAACATTTACTATATAAAAATCGGTGTATTTATTTTCTTAAGCGCAAAGTAATTTTTAAATAATGCTATGTCCAATTTAATAGTTTATTTAATATAAATATTAACAGTCACTGTATGAACTGACATGCACTTTATTATTTTTTGTTTTTGTACCATTGTTAAAAGATATATAAAAAACAGGATAAATAACAGTACTACTTTTGTATAAATTTTTATTCTAAATTCATATTAATAAATATAATTTGAATACTTTAATTATAATATAAAAAAATTGTCAATCAGTTTTTTTGGATTATCAAAATAGAAAAAGAAATTGACTTACCTGTAATTTCACCACCTCCTAAGTCATTAAGAATTTTCTTATAGGATGGTCGTCTGGTAAGAATACCTCCTCTCTGCTCTGGAGATTCTTCAGAGTCTGAAAAACTATCATCACTACCAGTCTCGACCACCTATTATAACAATATTATTATTAAAGTTCTTTTTTTTTAATAATTTCTGCTATATTATAAGAATTAGAAGCCATAATTTAATTTTAAAATATATTTACAAATTACCTGAAGTGTTTGCAAGCTTGCTTGAGCTGTTTGAATAACAGAATTAGGTTTACTAACAAGAATGACGTTTCCTTTTGAAATAGCAACAGGCTGGATATTTGTTGCAGTCTGAATGACTGACTGTTGATTAGGTTGTATAACAGACTGTACCTAAATTAACAAAAAAAAAAATTAATTAGTGTAATCCATTTGAAAAATCTATATTATCTATATTAAATATATAAATATGAATATTTTTACAAATTATCTGAACATTAATATGAAATAATAACTCTGACAATTCTTTTTTATTATCATGCATATGCAAGGCACTATTACTAACTATTAAAAAACAATATATGTATCAAGATATCACAAAATTTATCAAATATTAAATTCATTATTTTCACAGATTAGAAAAGATTAAATCAATGAAGAAAATTAAATTTGAACTCTAGAAAATGAACCAGCATTATGCAAGATTGAATCCATACACAGTGCTCTTCAAGTAAGCAATAGAACTTATGATTATAATTAAAGCATAAATAAGTGATATACACATGCTTTGAAACTAAAAAAGTAAATAAATGATCGGACATAGATACACAGGAATTTCTCCTGTATACCTGTGTTGTTCCTGACGAAGGTAGCGTCAATTGCACAATGCTGGTCGAAGCTACCAGATGATGAGTTTGCTGCTGATGTGTTCTATTGAGAGATTGTACCGATGTAGCTATTGCTGGGGCAGCATCGCCACTTTGAGAACCCGTAGATAATGGGTCAACGGCTGATCCATTTTCCTCAACCATACTTTCCATAGCCTGGGAACCTTAAACCCTATAAACAAAAGATAATTTTAAAACTGTGTACATATTCTTAAAAATGTTTCAAATTTCGCAATTGTAAATTTTTAGATGTTTTTGATCGAATATCGTATAAATTTCTCATAGCAATTCAAAAGTTCGGAACTCGTAAATAAATGAAATGAGGAAAAAAAAACAATACCCATACGCAAACGCGTGTAAGTTTCCCGCTTGAAAAAAAATCAAACACATGTACACTCTTGAACTTCATAAAACTAAATATCTAACGAAGTATAAACACCAGCAAAACAAGCAGGATTTGAAAATTCGTAAATATATTGACACAAAATCGAGACTGTTCGATGACATGTGAATATTTTTAAATTTCCCGCCAGTTAAGCGATCGGCGGTACTACTGCGTCATTTACATAAGCAGATCTAAAAATAATACAAGAACAATAAACACTCAAGATGCTTTCGTACGTGAACGAAGGGCCAGATGTCGTAAGAAAGGAGAAACACGGTTCAACGTGGCTGAGATTGTACCAATCAGTGTTCCCTGGTGTTGATTAGCAGTGAAAAGAGATGTCAGAATCGTCACGTAACCCCCATTGCCCTTTTCAAGAAATTCGTACATCTTTCTTAAGGCGCCATATTTTACGGCATATTCCATAGCAGACGTAAAACTGTCTCTGCTGATCTCACGAAATGAAATGCTAATTGTTTCGGCAGCATTTCGGATGTATCGTAAGTGCAGTGGTCCATGCCCGGTTGTTATTATTCTCCAGCTGAGTACTTACCAGTTACGTATTTCTCGTCACCAACTTTGCTGCAATCGGAGTGGGCAAACGGGCAGGTACGTAGCAGCCACGTCAAAACTCCAGTGGCTTCGTCACTGGTGGAGCCCACGACCTCCGCGCTGCGCGTCACGATCAAAATGGCCGACAACTTCCCTCCACCCCTTCGTAAGATGATCGTGTATCGGATAGTGATGGGGCCGATATCCTCGTGCGCGATACCGATTTCGTTTTCTTATGACTTCTATTAAAAATTCAAACAAAATCATTCTAAAACCAACAATGATCAACTCCGTACACAATAATTTGTAACAATGAAATCGGATCATTGTATTCGACACTCGACGTTTGTAATTATATGTTTATATAGTATTCCATGTTAAAGAACAACCTGTCTTTCGCATTTATCAATTCAACGACCGCATTCATAACAGAAATATTAAATAAATTTATGTTCCCTTTGTTGAATTGAATTATAAGTTAAAATGTATAATTGGTTATATATTTAGTAATTAGTTTTGGACGAATTATCGAAGAAATTTGAACGAGGTACGTAATTGGATGGATATACAATTTTTAAAATGTTTTATACATTTGACTTTAATCATCTTGCGTGTATAACAATACTATGGACGTATTCTGCTAAATAATAAGAAAAATGGACTGTTTGTTTCAGTGTAATTTTATTTGTAGTTTCATTGGCGAAATATGTTTTCATGATTTGATAATAATAATAATAATGGAATAAGTAACGATCGTAGTTAATTATTCATAATACAGGAGTATTTAGTAAAAAATACGTATTTGCATAAAGTATTTATATAATCTTGGATCAATTCTATCACTAGCAGCAGTTTTCAAGCCCACTTCATCTGTTTGCCTCTTTATATTTTTTCGCTTTTCTGATATCCACCCGTGTTACCATGTAATCCGTATAATATAGCCACAGAGAAAAGCACGTTAATTAATGTCATTTAATACCACAGTCTTCTACCAGTAACCTTTACTTTCTGTCACATAAGTTCTAGTTGTGGCATAAGTTACTGTTTATTAGACTACCAAAACGTTGATTCGGCCACTTTTTTCATTCAAATGTTTATTTTTTAATGTATCGTACTTGACGATTATCAATATCATAAATTTTTACTGTAAAGGTTACATTATCTACAAAAATAGTATTCAGAAGCATTGTGAC